AAGAAAGAAAGAAAGAAAGAAAGAAAGAAAGAAAGAAAGAAAGAAAGAAAGAAAGAAAGAAAGAAAGAGAAAGAAAGAAAGAAAGAAAGAAAAGGTAATACCCCCAACTGCAGCCACTAGCTCCCAGGGCAAAACTAGTATCAAACCTATACAAGGAGAGAACCAAGGGATGGAAGGTGATCTCTGGCTTCGTGAGGCGTTTCATGTACTCCCCTCCCAGGGAGAAAGGAGAAGGGGTTGCTTCCTTCCTTCCCTTTAAAAGTGCTCAGTGAGAAAGAAAGACCCAAAAGAATCATTAGTAAAGATTGAGGTGCCAGGGAAGATGGGCTTCCATTCCTGTGTTGGATGCCCATCTGGGCAAGAGGAGATAAGAAGAGAAAGATGGCAGCCAAGGGGCACAGAGGCAAAAGAGGGGACAGGAGGAAGCAGCCCCAGCTCCTATCATTTACACGTGGGTCTCCATGGGTTAATCAGACAAAGTGGAAGAGTGTGGGCTTGAGCCATCCTACCACACCCCACACAAGAGGGCTGCCCAGCAGGCAAGGGGGCTGTGCACCCCAATCACTAGAGGCTGTGCAGTGCACGCCTCGGGACTGGGAGTTGACGTGGAAGTAGGGTTGCCAGATTTAGCAACTGAAAATATTGGGCATCTTGCATTTTACCTGGCAACCCTAAGTGGAGGTAGAAGAGGTTAAGCCAGAACCAGAACACTCTCTTCAAAGAAATATCTTGTGGAAAGACCCCGAGAGGACAATTTATGGGCATGGAAAGAGGACATTTGACACAGCATGGCTGAAGGTAATGATTGAAGAAAGGGAGAAAACGTTTCACATTTGCACCGCATCCCGTTAAGACCGCTGGATAAAAGGGATGAGTAAAGAAAGCAATGTGAAAAGAGCAAATGAATGAGAGTTGGCGGGAACACCTCCCTTTGCAGGTGCTGCTAAAGTATAAATGGATTGGTCCAGCACATGTAGCTAGCTCTGAGCTCGGGAGAGAAAATAGGGCAAGTTAATATAAGATTGTAGGTAAAACCAGTGCAGGGAGGTCTAGGCCTTTGTCCTATGGCTTTTAGGGGAACCATAACTCTTTTTTTTTTTTTTGCAGTTTTCCAGATTGGCTAAAGAAGCAGTGATGTGAGAACCCTAAAAATGCCTCCTCTTTACGGAATCATTCAAGCCAGTCTGAGGCTGGGTAAAGAACAATAATGAAGGACAGTTTCCTTCCTGACAGCGCTGCTGATGATCGTTCACACTGACTGTCAAGCTCAGACCACAACTGACAGCCCTTAGTGTACATTTTTACAGTGAATGCTGACTTTAAGCTGGGTTTCAGCTAGCCTGTGCCAAATGGAAGGCTGGTGTGAATAGGAAATTTGCCTGTTCCTGAGGAATGGTCTCCTGGTAAACATTGGTACTCACGATTACGGTCCTCCAATTATAGACAGGTTCCTCTGTAGGCAACACCCCACAGCAGCTGGAATTTCCTCTGACATGAGGACAATGGTTGATGAAAGCCAGGTAATTTTTGTAATCTAATTTAAAAACAGAAAGAAACTGAAAAAGTCAAAGCGTATACTTGTATGTGTATATATTTATATAGTATATATGTGTGTGTATCTATGCAATTGCTCCCTCTCCTGTGTTTTCTTACCACTTTGTACTTCCCCATTATGCAGGCATTACAGATACTTTTTTATATATCTCATTTCCCTTACTAGAGTACATGCTCCTTGCAGACTGAGACTCTATGATTTCTTTTATTTTGGAACTTCCTGCAATACCCTCTATAAACTCAATGAGCATACTATTTTTGCAGGATAACGGGTGAAGAAGAATAAACATAATTATTCCTCCAAGTAAAATATATCTTAGGTGGGTTGATGATCTGTGAGATAAATTAGAAAAATTCAAAAGCCTGTTCTGATTAGTTAAAATATGTTTATTAGATAAATAAATGCCAACCAGATATTCTTAAGAGCTGATAATTACATGTCTTTGTCTTCCTGTGTGGAATGTCATTCTCTGCATTCTCCAATTTTTATATGTGATTTTTAAATTTATTTAGGCTAGATCATCCTAGATGTGTTTTGCCTTCATTAGAATTAATCCTACATACTTTAGGTAAAAATGGTGTTCTCTATTCTGGTCATTGTTTTTACATGTGTATGTTACCAACAAGCCATTTGATGTACCAGAAGAGGGTTGGTGACTTATCTTTACCTGGAGAGTACTGAAGATCTCCAGCTGAATGTTGCCTCAGTACCTCAAAAGCATCTTCAAATGCTTGACCCAGCTTGTCTTGTTCAACACAAGTCTGTTGGAATAATGGCAGAACCCGAGAGTTATGAAATTACCAATTAAACTTTATTTTCCTGATATAAAATAGTGTTTAGTCTAAAGGAGGGTTTCCCATCTTTGGCACTATTGCCATTTTGGGTTGGCTAAGTTTTTGTTGTGGGGAGCTGTCCTGTGCATTGTTGGATGTTTAGCAGCAGCCCTGACCTCTACCCACTAGATGCCAGTAGCAACCTTACAGTTGTGACAATCAAAAATGTCTCAGACACCACCAAATGTATCCCGGGGGACAAAACCAGCCCCAGTTGAGAGCCACTGCTCTAGAGTATAGTATTTAGAGGATAGTATTCATTCTACAGTATTTAGTATTCTTGTAAAATTACAGCAAGAAATTGTAGAACTCAGGAGGCTGATTTAGAAAAAGTAAAGGAATCTCTTTAATGGAACAGAATCTGTGAATCATTAAAAATGAAGTGCTCTTAATTTCAAAACTATGTTTCCAAGACTTAAAATTGAATTGCTTTGCAAAGCATTTTAGACCTTTATTATTTTGACCCAAATATTTTATTTTTAAAATGGAGGGAGAGTAAAAAATATTTTAGAATGTCAACTTACCATGCTTCATTAATAGATTGACAATTCTGAAAAAGATCAATATTTAGAAAACAAAATTAAATAAGTCTCTAATTTCGTTCTGAATTAAAAGATCTTGCTCAGAAACACTTTCTGAAAATATATTGTATAAACCAAAGTACCATCTGAATTCTCTTTGGTGAGTACAAAATTTCTTCCTATAAACATTTCTTTTTGCTTTCTTATCATTACAAAACTTACTGAAAATCAAAATTCTCTTTACCGTAGCATAGCCCTCCTTTGTAACAGTGAGTTTTCTTAAAACTTTTTTTGGTGTCATCTAGCCTTCTGGTGAAAGACATGCTTTTTCTCCCATGAAAAGTGGATTTACATTATAAATAAAATTTAGCCTAGGAAGCTAAATTAGGGAGTGACTCCCTAAAATTTTAGGTTAAGAACTCTATAATTTTATGTTATCTTCTTTCTTATCTCTTTAAGTGAGTTAGATTTTGCTTTAAATAAACAATTATCACATAGACCCACATTACATGTCCCTTAACTCTGCTCTATATAGGACAACAAACAAACCCACAGAAAAAGATAGAACCTGAAACGGGCCTAACATTGCCTATCATCTCTTTCAGCAAATCTAGCAACTCTGTTTATACAGGTTCTTCACATTTATCCTGCAAACACAATCAGCTTACTCGTTAGTGTTTAACACTGAGCAATACAATGACATGATATAATTTAATGCCAATATTATACATATTCAAAATATCTCAATATAATATGTCAAACATTAAAATTCTATTTGGCTCTTTTAAATCACTATTATCATGTCAGTTAAATATATATATATAAAAAAAGAAAATCCATAAATCACTGTTTGAGCTATGGTCTGTAAAGAATATTACCAGTAGTACCTATTATTAAAAAGCCATGGCAACGACTTTCAATTAATTATGTTTCCAACTCGAAAGCACTGAAGTGCTGAATATTGTATTTTGAATTAAATAGTTAAAATAAACCTGCTCTCTTTCACTAAAATACTCCACAAGATTATCACAACTCCTAAAAGCGGCGAATCCAAAGGGAAGAAACAAGCTTGAAAACATTATTGATCATCACTTTAATTGCTTAATATTTCTTGCGACCAAACAGGCAATGAGAAAAACTCATTAAACCAAAAGGAGAAAATGAACAGTTATTACAAGGTATTTTGAAAAATACAAGCTGAACACTTACCAGGGAGACTCTTCAACCCTTTACAAGGATGTTTCATTAATATTAGAATAGTTAAGACACAACTATCAAGAACACACTGGCAGAGTTGCATTAAATAGCTGTTTTTAAGGAAGTGCTTCAAAAGGGGATTTTTTTTAAAAGATACAGTGCCTTCATAATTTCTATGTCATGATATGGCCAGTAGACACCAGGGGCTATTATTTTGAAGAGGCAAGTAATAGTTTGCATCCTATGGGCCAAAAGCATTAGAAGGAACCCTATGAAACACACCCCCTACCCCAATGTAGGTGGCAGCTCCTCTGATTTGCACGGCCTCCCTGGAAACCTCTGACCTGTACAACTCGTGTCCACTCTTCTTTTTCTTATTCGTATTACTTCTCTCCCAGTTCTGGACTCCTTGCCTGGACTATTAACAGCCTTCACTCTGGTCTTCCCAAATCCATCTGTTCCTCGTAAACCACTTTACTCACGCTGCCATTCACTGATTGCCTTACTTAGAGATCTTAAAGGCTTATTAGGGCCCTCGCCTGGCATTCAAGGCTCTTCATAACAGCCTTAGCCTGATTTCTCACCATTCACTTAATGGAAATGGAATCCACACTACTGTCTTCCCTCCATACCTGGATCCAAGAGAGGCTCCAAAAGGGTTAGGAGAGTCTTATGCGTGACGATCCGGTTGGACATACCTTGAAGCTGCTGCATTTGCAGGGCAGGTCCAGTTCTCTTACTTAGCTAGAAGGTTTATTTGGGGTGGCTTTTGGTGGCTTTCATGGAAATTATGAGGTGCTCCTTCCGCCTATTACACCTCCTTCCCAGTCCATCCCCCAGCCCATTGAACAATTTCATGTTACCTGTCCATCAGAGCACAACCTAGCGTCCACTTGTACAAGGTGGAAAAGACGTTCCCCTCCTCTGAAACACGTCTGCATCTCCCTTACCTAGCCTGTAACCTGCCTTTTTAATAGCTGTCACATTTGGCCAGGGGGGAAACCGCCTAAGAATTTTTGGTAAACCTTGTGGGTGGGGAGAGAAAAGAGGGTGTGCGATCTCAAAGCTGCTAGTAATTTTCTGTTTTGCATTGTTGGAACTTGAGCTCACCTTTGATATGGGACTATTGTTCTAGATCAATTACTTTTTGAGCCAATTTGTTATGCAAATATAAACAAATAGTCTCTCTTCTGAAATGTAGATATTATAATAACAAGTTTAGAACCGTAATTGCTAATGTTGATTTGTTTTTAATCTGTACCAGCCCCTGCGTCTACACCCTTTTCCAGCCATTTATTTCATTTGGTTCATTCATCCAAGAAGTGTACTGTATTACTGAGCTCTTTACTCTGCTGGGCACTTTCTTGTTTCCAGGAGCTACAGCCTTGAACAAGTTCTAATGAGAAGAAATGATTTTTAAAAAATAATAAGCACATTAGAAAATAAGGGTTGAAAAAAACGATACAACTGAAAAAGGTGGTGGGTAGTGTGTGGTCCTGGTGAATGGCCAGGGAAAATGTTTGAGGAGGGAACATGTGTGAGCCAAAGAGCCAAAGAAGGATAAGGAGTGAGCCAAAAAAAAAAAAACAAACAAAAAGCAGAGATACAAAGATTAGGAGGATCACCTCCTGACAGAGGAAACAGCAGGTGCAAAGAGCTTGAGATGAAAACGGGTTTCAAACAAAAAGCAGAGATACAAAGATTCGGAGGATCACCTCCTGACAGAGGAAACAGCAGGTGCAAAGAGCTTGAGATGAAAACGGGTTTGGCTTATTCGAGGCACAGAGAGAAAGCCAGGACGGGCTGGAGGAAAATGAACTTGGGAGCTGAGAGGCAAAGTTGGAGACGAAGGAAGGAAATCGAGGTGAACACACACATCAAGCCTAAAAGAATGAAAAATCACATATAAGAGCAGTTACCTGCCTAACTCCATTTCACAGAGGAGGAATTTAAACTGAGGTTCAAAGAAGTTTCATGATTTTTCCTAAGGTCTAGCTTCTGGTGAAAGGTGGGCTGGGACAGATCCAGATCTGGATCTTTCTAACTTCTCAGTCCTGGAGCCCTGTGTCTGCACTTTAGGTCACATCAGATGAGGGTGCTCAGTCCCCACAGCAGGCTCCACAGCACCCAGAAGATGCTTGTCACATACTCCAGGCTTGCTAAGTATTTGAAATAAATGGAAAAAAAAGTGAACTTTCTAAATCAGCATTTCCCTAACTGGTGTCTCCAGAGTTTTATTCTATAAGATGTTGATAAATGAACCTTGAAAAAGTGTTGAGTGGAAGCTAGGGTTGCTGCCTACAACTTCTTTAGCAAAGCCAGTGAGGATAGTGGATGTTTTGACACAACCCTGTATTACAGATGAGAAAATAGAAATGCAACTTTTGGGTCCTCTGTAGGAATGAGGTGTGAAGATGTTTTTGACAGCTTGAAAAGATGATGCAATAGTCCTTTTAACATTTTAGAGGTCAAAGCTCCTATTCCTTGAGAATCTGATGAAAGCCAGGAGTTCCTTCTCAGGTAAATGCCATCAGAGCTAATTTCAGGTGAATCCTCTCAGTAGGGCCAGTGGAGCCCTTGCCATAGTGTATTATTTTAGTTCTCAGGACTGCCTCTTGAGACATTAGCACCCCATACACACACACACACACACACACACACACAAACACACCACACACACATGCACACACAGAAACTATCTGTTTTCGAGGTGTGGGGGATGGACATAAATGCTTCCCTCAACTCCAGTGGTGAGCTTAGTAACAAGCAAAGGACTCTGAAGAGAGGATCCCTGATTGACAGATTCTTTTTTGCAGAAGTTCATTGTCCTCAGTGGCAACTGAGATTATTTTAGAAAATCTTAAGCAACAGATGTGCTGGTGTCCACATCATATGGTGCCAAGCTTCAGGTGGAAGATTGCATTTTCTGAGAATAGGGAACCGCAGAACCCAGGGAAGGGAGACTAAGTTTCAGCCCACATCAATTTTTTGCAATTTCTATTTAAATAACTCAATTTTTAGGGGATTAAAGAAATGAGTCTTAATCTTGGCAAGATCTCTGACACCTAGTAAGCAAATAATAAAGATTGTTAGCAGACTGGGGAGAAGGTGCTAGAAAATTTCTCATGTTAGGGATGGCCGGTTAGCTCGGATACACAAGGTCAAGGGTTCAGATCCCCATACCAGCCAGCCAAAGTCTCATGTTAGAGTAGGAGAACTCATAAAACCATAGGTTGTGAGACAAATAGCTAAACCTCATCCTCGTTTTAATAATAATTACTTTTGCAATAGATTATTCTTTGAAATTTATTGAGACTTGTTTGTGGCCCAACATGGAGGCTATCTTGACTGAATGTGCTCTTTGCATTTGAAAGAACATGTGCTTTTCAGCTATTGTCTGTAGTGTCTGATAAATGCCCGTTAGATCTAGTTGGTTGATAATGTTGTCCAAGTCTTCCATATCCTTACACTCTTTTTTTTTTTTGCCTGCATGTTCTATGAATTACTGAAAGGATAATCTCCAACTATAATTATGAATTTGTCTATGTTTCCCCTTTAGTTCGGCCCATTTTTGCCTCATGCATTTTCAAGCTCTGTTATTAGGTGCACGCTCACTTAGAATTGCTATGTGTTCTCAATGAACTGAGCCTTTAACCATGATAAAATTTCTGTTTTCTGGTCCTTTGTCCTTCCTTTCCTGCTTTCTTTTGGATTAAATAAGTATTTTTATTATTCCATTTTGTTACCTCTGTTAGTTTTTTTTTTTATAATATGATTGTATGACATACTTCTCTAGATTTTTTTGTTTAATTTTTAATTTTTAAAATTTTTTTAGATTTTTTTTTTTGCTCCAGAGATTACAATATGCATTTTTAACTTATCACAGTC